GAGTAGCATATCCACCGAAATGGACAGGTCCTCCCGATCAACTTCCCCTCCACCATATGAAACCCACGAAGGGGAGGACTTGCCAGAGGTCCGGACCCCATCGCAGCTGCCCACTTCTGCGAAGATCGACATTGATCTCCGCTGGACTGTGCTCTGCGATTTGTTCCTCGTCCTCATTGCAGACTCGGCCTATGATGCGCGGTCACGGACATTGCTTGAAAGGGTTGGTGCTTCGATGGAGGTGTCATGGCTGCAAATTGCCCGCTTCGAAAAGCGGGTCATCGATGCTCTCGAAATGCAGGAGGCTGCAGAAAAGGAGACATGGGACGAGTCGGAGCATATGGAGAAGCGGCGGAAGATGGCCCTCAAGCGCAAGTATATGGTTATGGGCTTAGCCACTGTCGGTGGTGGCCTGGTGATAGGCCTTTCGGCTGGCTTGTTGGCCCCGGTCATCGGCGCTGGTATAGCAGCTGGATTCACCACCGTCGGGATCACGGGGACGAGCGCGTTTTTGGGCGGTGCTGGAGGTACGGCGTTGATTGCCTCCGGCGCTACCTTGACTGGAAGTACCATTGGTCTGAGGGCTTCTCAAAGACGGACTGGCCCTGTTCAGACGTTCGAATATCGCCCCTTGCATAATAACAAGAGAGTCAACCTGATTATCACCGTCGCTGGTTGGATGACAGGAAAGGTGGATGACGTCCGATTGCCTTTCAGTACGGTTGATCCCATCATGGGTGATTTATACTCAGTCTTGTGGGAGCCTGAGATGCTCCGAAGTATGGGTGACACTATTAACATTCTCGCTACGGAGGTAGGCAGCGACACTATGTTCAGATACGCTCATGCGGACACTAACATGCTTGGAATAGGCTTTGACCCAGGGGTTGCAACAGGTCCTTGGCCAGACAGTTTTAGTTGCCCTGATGGCTTCACTGCAACTCCCACTCGTCCTGACCAAGCTGTCCTATCTGATCGACAATCCTTGGAACGTATCGCTTACACGCGCAAATGCGGCCGGACTGATTTTGGCTGACTCGCTGCGAGACCACAATCTGGGAAAGAGGCCAGTGACTCTTCTCGGATATTCACTTGGCTCGCGAGTCATCTTCTCTTGTTTGAAGGAGCTTGCAGACAAGGGCGCGCATGGGCTAGTTCAGAACGTGTATCTCTTCGGGTCCCCGATTGTGGCCAACCGAGATGAGTACCTCAAAGCCCGCAGCGTGGTGTCTGGGCGGTTTGTCAATGGATTCGCTTCCAACGACTGGATCTTAGGGTATCTTTTCCGCGCCACGAGTGGTGGTATCATGCGGGTGGCTGGTCTTGCACCAGTAGAGGGCGTTCCCGGCTTGGAGAACTTCGATGTCACCAAGATTGTGAATGGTCATATGGACTATCGTGCAGCAATTCCTCGGCTGTTGAAGGAAGTCGGCTGGGAAGTTCTGAGCGAAGAGTTCGCCGAGATTGAGGATCCTGATCCCGAGAACCACGCTGAGCGGCAAAGGGAGCTGATCCGTGAGATTGACGAGGCGCGACGAGAGGCTGAGCAAAAGCCGGAAAAGAAGCGGTTTGGTTTGTTCAAACGCGGAAAGTTGGCGCAGAAGAAAGGCTGGGAAACGTACGACGTTGAACGCAACAATGCGATACGCCGGGGCTCCAGCGACACCAACGGCTCCGGAACGGTGCTCTTTGATATCGACGCTATTCGAGCCGAGCTAGCCTCGGAAAGTATCGAAGTCAAGCAGCTTGAATCCACACTTCCCCCGATGAAATTAGACTTGAGTTCACCAGCAAGCCCGGCTCCATCTGCTCCTGCTTCCACCGGCAAAGAGCTGAAGAGCCCTGAAACTCCAGCGCCTCCGGCTCGTGCGTCTCCTGGGACACTCCGCGAATACAGTCCTACTCGTGACGCACACACGCCTGCACATCAAGAGGAAGCAGTAGAGATGACCTTCGATACGTCCTTCCACGATACCCCTCCCCGTTCTCAGTCGTCCTTTGAGCCCGCCGCCTCTCACGATGTACCCCCCACAAGGCCTGAGCTTCGGTCTTCCCTTACGATGCCGGCCCTTGGGGCCAGCACTTTAGGCGCTATGGCTCTGGAGCCAAATGCTTGGGCCGAGCACGACTTTGGCCACGGCGAAGAAGAGATTCAGATGACATTCGAGTGACGATGAACGAGACGATGGGAACGAGCTTCTGTTTGTTTATAAGCTGTTTGTTGATAGACCGAGCCGGGCCTGTGCCGGGGGTTACTTTTCTTAATATGGGTTGCTATAATTTCTTTTTCGTTGTCATTCTACTTGCTTGTGTCCGTGCATGACGCCGCGGGAGGACAATTGCAGTTATGATAAATTCAGAGCCTGGCATGCGATTGCCAAGTTAGAGCCTTATTCTTTGTTGCATACACTTTTCTGAGACATGATACAGCCAGTCTAATTTTCATGCATGCTTGATTCACCTTCCGGTGTGGCTATTTGGATATCAGGTGTTCTGGATGTGCTGGTCGGCATCCCCATTAGTTTAGCATGAAGCAGTCTTTATTACTACCTCTAGTATCAGGAAGCAAATCTTCTCCTCCTTGACCGCAAAAAGGAGTTCTCCATCCATTGATTGACGGTCGATGCGACCAGTCGGCATAGAGCCCAAGCCGACGGGATCATAATTATAGCAGCGGGTGCGGAGAATAGCGTGTCACCACACGCGTCCCTCCTCATCCGATTCCCCAGCCAATTTGATTCATGACTTTCCTCCTCTTCTCTGCCCTCCACACCAAACGACACCCAGCCCAGACCCCGCAAGCACAGATCTTTCCGGGGCATCTCTACTGTTTACAATCAAGGGGGCGGCCCTTGCACATGCTCACACTCGTTCCGTGGTTCACTCCATCACTCAAACGGGGGTCGACCTGCTCTCGTGCTTCTTCATCCAAGCAGCTCGGCCACAGTTGCGACGTGATTATTTATCATTGAAACAAATACTTACTCAAGCCACTTGGCTCTCCCTTCCTTTCTATCTGTATCATTTTGATTTGCAATTCTTCTGTCCCATATCGATATCGACCAGTCTCCACAACAGCCATAGCCAACCCATCCATCTCCACGACCAACTGATCTCCACTACAGCTACGATCTACACACCATGGTCCTGCAAACCCGACCCAAGCCCAACTCCAGCTACGCCTCCAACCGACTCACTCGACAATCCGGCCCCAGCCAATCCCTCCTCTCCACCTTCCGAAACAGCAACGGCAAAGATGAGCGTCCGAAACCCGTGAAACCGGAGCCCGCGACGGACGACGAGCCCATTAGCTCTAGCGACGAAGACGATGTCGTGAACGAGGACGATTCCGAGCCGGAAACCCGCACACGAGTCTCGGGCCCTAGCTTGGATGAGAAGCTCGCCAAGAGCAGATCGCAAACAACGCCGCGCGCCCCGCGCCAACAAAGAGGGAGCGATACAAAGAACAGTACCCCGGCAACGGGCCGCAAACGGAGCTCGCGTGAGATGGTAAACGATGACGCGGATGAAGATAAGGATGAGGGGTTTTTCGCCTCGTTTCGTGAATTGGATAATGGGAATAAGCGACGCAAGAGTCGCGGGTATCAGTCGAGGAAGTCGTTGGTGAACTCGTCGCAGTCGCCGGCGGGGAGTGTCAGAACGCCGAAGGCTTCGAAGGAGGGGAGCAAGAGTATGAGTAATGGGCCAAAGAAGAAGGGCAAGGAGTTCAAGGTTCCCAGGGATATTGAGGACGAGGCGCGTGCGTCGAGCCCCAAGCCTGAATTCAAGCAGCCTCCTCCCATGCCCGAGCCTAATGATATGATCTCGAGCTCTTCACATGCTACTTCGTCTGCTCTGGATGCGGCGGTCTTTGATGATGATGATTCCTCGGTCGGCACGCCGCTTAGTATGGCGTCGTCTAGCTTTATGAATGAGCTTTCGCAGTATGGAGAAGCAGCGCTGCTAGATGAACCGGCCGTGTGTCCGTGGTGCAAAGCGCCTGTGGACCCGGGGGCGCTGTTGCGATTCCGCGCGCAACCGAAACAGCGCATGCGCGAACAGCGACAATTCTGTGACTCTCATAAGCAGACTTCTGCGGAGCAGGAGTGGAGGGAGAAGGGATATCCGGAGATCGACTGGGATACGTTCGATGAGCGAATCGCTCAGCATTTCGCGGACCTGGAGACGATTATGGTGCCGGAGAGTACCTCGTTCTACCGGAATATCCTGGATACGGCGTTGAAGACCGGACAGGCTAAGAATTTCCGCCTTTCGCTGGACGGAGACGGATTGGAAAAGATCTCGTGTGGATATTACGGGACTCGAGGGGCAGGGAAAATGTACGCTTCACCTTTGCATCTACTTGATATGGTCTTCTATGGGCGCAGGCTAATTGAAATAGGCTACAAGCGATCACCTCGCGATACGGGCGGAGGCTCCGTCGGCTAGCGGCCGATGATCAGATTGTGAAGATGGCTGGGCCCGTCGGATATGCGCAGGAGGTGTTGGTGCCAGAGTTGGCGGTGCGACTGGTCAAGGAGGACATGGGGGTGAATGAGGAGACGGCACGGCAGATTCTCCGCGAGACAATTGATCTTGGGGAGAAGGTGAACTTTGCCTTGAATGACAAGGTGCCGGTGCCGGAGGAGTCTGGAGATGAGGTGCAGTGAGATGCATGGGATAGTTATTCATATACTGGTCGGACTCTGTTTATTGGGCAGTCCTGGGACCAATGCTGTGTTGTATATAAGGCGATGAGTGATACCTCTCTGTTCGCTAGCTAGCTAGCCAGGCTGTTATGCCGTGATTTTGTCGGGAGAAATGAAAATGAATATGGCGCGTGCAGGAGACGAATTGACACCATTGTGACTCCACAGTTGGTGATGCTTCAGTCCGGCCGAGGTGGAGCCGGCGATAAGATAGCGGAGACAGCTGATTAGCTGATAGCTTGGTTACGTCGTGCGGAGCTGTCCGAACCCTTCCTTCTATCCATAGTGAGAAAGTACTACTGCTGCTGCTAGTTACTCCTCACCTCCCATCTCTCTCTGACTCTTCCTCTTCCATCACACTTCCATCTCCCCTCTTTCATGAGATGGATAGTATCCCAATTTATCTCTAATCTAGTATCCCAATCATGCCCCCCGAAATGCGGGAAAAGGCCGATGCCTATCATTACTCCACCATGCCCAGCGAATCTACGCCTCTCCTCACCACGGTCGGCGTCCGCCCCCATCGACACCGCTACCCACATCACTCTCTCCGCCGTTTCTGTACCATCACTCTCACCTCCATTCTTACCCTCTCACTCTGTCTCTTCCTGACCCCCACCGCCCTCCTCCCCCGCGCTCACGGTTCCATCTGGAGCTACCTCCCCTGGGCGAATCCCTTCCCCCACTCCTCCTGGCCTGAAGGCCATGGCCTCAGCTACGCTGAGCTCCAAGCTGTCTTGAAAGAAACCCCGAGCGCCCAGAAGGCTCGCGAATGGAGCACCTACTACACCGCTGGTCCGCACCTGGCCGGGAAGAACCTCAGCCAGGCGGTCTGGACCAAGGAACGCTGGGCTGAGTTCGGGGTCCCTGAGACTGAGATCGTGGCATATGATATCTTCCTCAATTACCCTGTGGATCATCGGTTGGCATTGCTGAAGAAAGACGAGGTCGTATTCGAGGCAACCCTGGAAGAGGACGTGCTGGAGGAGGACCACACCAGTGGGCTGCCTAACCGCGTGCCTGTGTTTCATGGATACTCGGCCAGTGGGAATGTCACAGCGCCGTATGTATTTGTGAACTACGGTACTGTGGATGACTTCCAGGACCTCGTGGATCGGAATGTCAGTCTGGGAGGCAAGATTGCTATTGCCAAGTATGGACGGATCTTCCGCGGATTGAAGGTCAAGAGAGCGCAGGAACTCGGTATGTCTGGGGTGATCCTGTATGATGATCCCGAGTCCGATGGGGAGATTATCGAGGAGAATGGATATGCTCCGTATCCGGAGGGCCCGGCTAGGAACCCGAGTGCTGTGCAGAGAGGAAGTACCCAGTTTTTGAGTAAGTTATCCTATCTTCCCGCTTGGTTGTTGGATAGAGCTGACTGAGTAGGTATCGCACCGGGTGACCCGACTACTCCCGGATACCCGTCCAAGCCGGGATGTGATCGTCAGGATCCTTATGAGTCTATTCCCTTGATTCCCTCCCTGCCCATCTCGTATCAGGAGGTGGTGCCGTTGCTTAAGGCCCTGAACGGTCACGGTCCCAAGGCGTCCGACTTGAACGAATACTGGCAGGGCGGTAAGCTGGGCAGCAAGGGCGTCGAGTACTACATTGGCCCGACCCCGGATGATGTCCAGATCAATCTGTACAATGAGCAGGAGTACGTGACGACTCCTTTGTGGAACGTCATTGGTGTCATCAAGGGAGCCATCCCGGATGAGGTCGTGATCATGGGCAACCACCGTGATGCCTGGATTGCCGGCGGCGCTGGAGATCCGAACAGCGGGTCTGCCGCTCTCAACGAAGTTGTGCGCAGCTTCGGCGAGGCGCTCAAGGCTGGGTGGAAGCCGCTCCGTACTATTGTCTTTGCCAGCTGGGACGGCGAGGAGTACGGATTGCTCGGATCCACCGAGTGGGTGGAGGAGCAGCTCCCCTGGTTGTCCAAGGCTAACATTGCCTATCTCAACGTGGACGTGGCAGCGTCAGGAACGAGCTTGCGCCCGAGGGCCAGCCCGCTGTTGAACAAGCTGATCTACGAGGTCACCGGGTTGGTGAAGTCACCCAACCAGACTGTGCCTGGGCAGACCGTCCGGGACCTCTGGGACGGTGATATTGCCACCATGGGTAGTGGCAGTGACTTTACGGCCTTCCAGGACTTTGCTGGTGTGGCGAGCTACGACCTTGGATTCAGCCGCGGTCCGAAGGACCCAGTGTACCACTACCACTCGAACTACGACAGCTTCGACTGGATGGACCGGTTCGGCGACCCGAGCTGGAAGTACCATGAGACAACCACCAAGATCTGGGCTTTGGCAGCGGCCAAGCTGGTGGAGACGCCGGTGATCGCCTTTAATGCTACGGACTACGCGCTGGGCCTGGAGAAGTATCTTGACAAGATCAAGCCGGCGGCGAAGCAACTCCCCGAGGGAGCATCGTTCGACTTTGGGCCGCTTGACGCAGCGATCGCTAAGTTCCAAGCCGTGTCAGCGAAATTCGACGCCTATGCGGCGGATCTGACTGAGCAGCTGGGCGACGATGTGCCGTGGTACCACTGGTGGAGGAAGGTGCGGCTCTACTTCCAGATCCGCATCGTCAACGACAAGTACAAGGGGATTGAACGGCAGTTCCTGTACCAGCCGGGTCTGGATGGACGCAGCTGGTTTAAGCACGTAGTGTTTGCACCAGGCATCTGGACGGGATACTCGGGCGCGACGTATCCAGGATTGGTGGAGAGCTTGGAAGCGGGTGATTTGCTGAATTCTCAGGTGAGTAACCCAGATTTACGTAGCTGATTAATTTCAGCGGCTAACGAGGTCTAGAAATGGCGCGCGATTATCATTGAGCGCATTGAAGCTGCAACGAAGCTACTGCAGTGAGTCAGATGGACGTGATTGGAGATGAATGCCGATTGGCGGATGCCAGGTGACTGCCGTTGGAGCAAGGGAGTCAAGGAAGGAGAGTGTGAATGTATGTATGTCTTATTGGTGTATGTGCAAGTCTTCAAAGTCATTCTTTCGTTGGAGACAGTTGGAGAGCATGAGACGGGAGATTAGTACGGAGTAGTATTAAGTAGAGAGATAGCAGTTAGAAGCGGGCATGTTGATTGCTTACCGATTATCTTCAAGTGATTGATTGCTTACTTTCCCCGCCGGCGATCGACCCACCGCGAGGCTATTCGCCATTTTAGGGCCTGCTTAGCGTGTCTTAAGACTGTCTTCTACTGCCGAGTGCCGATTAGTTGGTTGGCCCTGGTCACACGCGCTGCTTGTTGAGTCTTACTCTTGTCTTTTTTCTTTTCCTCTCCCTCTTCTTTTCTTCTTTCATTCCTCTCTTCAAAATATTTTTGGGGGTAGTCTGCTCACCATGTTGGAGAAACCCGCCCGGCTGCCTGTTCGGCAGCTGGTCATTCTCTGTATGTACTGCAAATCAAATCTCCTAAGTTTATAGCGGTATACTGACCGATATACATAGCAATATGTCGCTTCGCAGAGCCGGGTACGTCCACTCAACATACCTTCTCAGTAATCAATCACTTCTAATAAATATACAACAAAAACAGTCGTCTTGACCTCCGTCCTTCCCTACCTGGTACATCTCCCCCATTCCCCCCCAACTCCAAACCAAAACCAAAACTAAAAATGTACAGCCCGAAATGATCGACCACGTCGGGGTCCCCAAATCCGAAATCGCCAAATGGGTCGGCATCACCAGCGCGGTGACCTCTTTCTCGCAGGCCCTGATGGCCGTCACCTGGGGCACCCTCTCCGACACTCTCGGCCGCAAGCCCATCATCCTGGTCGGACTCACCTGCACCATGGTCTTCTCGCTTCTCTTCGGCTTCTCCTCGTCCCTCTCCATGCTGGTCGTCTCCCGCGCCCTGCTGGGTCTCATGAACGGCAACGTGGGCATCATCCGCACCATGGTCGCGGAAATGGTTCCTCAGAAGGAACTCCAGCCCCGCGCGTTTAGTATCATGCCGCTGGTGTGGACGATCGGGAGTATTTTTGGTCCGGCGTTTGGAGGCGCGCTGGCAAGGCCCGCGGAGAAGCATCCGGGGTTGTTTGGGGGGTCGGAGTTTTTGAGGAATTGGCCGTTTGCGTTGCCGAATATTGCTGCCGCGGCTTTTTTTGTCGTGGGGATTGCCACGGGATGGTTGTTTTTGCATGTATGTTTGTGTCTATTTGGGAGGTTGAAGGGGGTGATGTGCTAATGTGGATGTATAGGAAACGCTGGCGGCGAAGAAACATCAACGTGACTATGGGTTGGTTGTTGGGGAGGCATTGACTAGCTCGTGTACTTCGTCTCGGAAGAACAAGTCAGAGTCTCATGCATCGGATGCAGAACGAGAAGCATTGCTTCCTCAGTCAACTACTACTCGTCCAGCAACAGCAGCAAAGAAAGCCAAACCAACCTGGGCCGAGATCTTCACCCCGCAATCCCGACTCGTCCTGCTCGCTTACGCTCTCATGTCCATGCACGCCATGGCCTTTGACTCCGTCCTGCCTGTCTTTCTACACAGCCCGGTGCAGCAATACGATGGTAATCCCGACATGAAGCTGCCCTTTAAATTCACTGGTGGATTCGGCATCGGTACGTCCTCCCATCCCCACCCCGTCTCAGCTCTCACCGCCCCATACTAAATGGAAGATAATAGACTCCCAAACCATCGGCATCTACTACACCCTAATCGGCATCCTGGGCATGTTCATCCAATTCCTGATCTTCCCATGGGCCGCCCACCGCTTCGGCGTACTCAACTGCCTGAAAGCCGTGGTCAGCGTGTTCCCGGTCATCTACATGCTCACGCCATTCACGGTGCTCCTTCCGGTTCCGTGGCTGCGCAATGTGGCCATTTTCTTGCTCATGTTTGGGAAATTGGCTGCGTCGATTTTCGGGTTCCCGTGCACGACGATTCTGTTGACGAACTCGGCGAGTAGTATGAGTGTACTGGGGACGTTGAATGGGGTTGGTACGAGTGTGAGTGCTGTGGGGAGGGCGGTGGGACCTGCTGTGATTGGGGGGGCGTATTCGTGGGGAGTGAAGAGGGGTTGGGGGATTTTGCCGTGGTGGGTGTGTGGGGTGTTTGGGATGTTGAGTGCGGTGCCGGTGGGGTGGATTGGGGAGGAGAATGCGTTGCAGGGGGATGATGCAGAGGGAGTTAATGGTGATGAGGGGGAAGAGGAGGGAGAGGGGGAGGAGGGAGGGTATGGAGCTATTGGGGGGAGGTAAATATATGAAGAGGGGAGAAGAGGGCAGGGGAAAAGAAAAGTTGATTGATTCATTGTTTGGGGTACGGTGCATGCATGCATATATATGATGTGATATTATGATATGATATGATATGATATGATAGAATGGACATGAAAGTGATATATACTTTAAAGTGGTAAGTTGTACATGGAATACATAGCAGAGAGTATATAGATGGTAGTGTAAGCAACCAACCAATCAGCATCCACAAATTACACTAGCCTACCTTACCTACCTAGGTACTACCCCAGCTAGATCATGCCATCATCCCAGTCCGTATTACATAGCTACTCACAACCACCACCTCACATCTACACCAAACACCCACCCACCCACCAACACAACCCCAAAACCACAATGGTACGTCTTCCCCCTCTAACCCAATCCTACCACCCCCCAAACTAACAACCAACCATGAACTAGTCCACCACAACAACAACCAAAGTAGCAGCCCTCCTCACAATCCTCACCTCCATCGGAGGCATAACCGGCTACCTGCGCGCGCGCTCCCTCCCCTCCCTAATCGCCGGACTATCCGTCTCCTTCCTGTACCTGCTCTCGTACCTCCGACTGCGCGCGAACCAGCCCTACGGGGCAGAGATCGGTCTTCTGGCCTCGATTATCCTCGGCGGTGCGTCGATCCCTCGGGCGATTAAGACGGGGAAGGGGGTTCCTACGGGGTTGGGCGTGGTGGCGGTCCTTGGGGGGGTGGTTTTTGGGAATGCACTTCTTAGTGCTAATTAACTAGCTAGCCTAGTTAGGTAGCTAGTTAGTTAGCTGGGTAAGAGGGAGGATGTAAGTGGGAGATGAGATGGAGGTGTATGACATAGGTTACTACTATTTATGTTATGTGGATGAAATAAATGGATGATGCTGATGATGATGATGATGTGTTCATTACAGGGTATACAGATAGCTAAGCTGTTTCATTATTGGTGTAGTAGTAGTCTGTATGTAGCCTACCTGCTCGATGTTGAACTTACAGTTTTCTTTCTTTCTTTTCTGACTCCGTCTGTCCCCTTCTGTGTATCTGTCTGCCTCTCCATGCTACGGTTCGTGTCGCTCGCCGCCCTACACTGTAAGAGACATTTCCAATCGTGCAAGAAACTGAACTTAGCTGCTTGATCCGATCCCCTGTCTCTGTCTCTGTCGCTGCCCCTCCATGTATTCGCATGCTCGTAAAGCTGTTATACCTGTCTGGCGGGTGGCTGGTGGCTTGGTGCCTACCGATCCGCTGCATCCTCCACCGTATCCATCTCGCGCGTCGTGCCCGTCACCACCGACGCCGGTACCTCCTCCAAAACCGTCTCGCCCTTCTGTTCGGGAACAAATGCGTACCTTGCCAGCTGTGCCATCTTCTCTTCTGGACTCGTCTCATTATCCGAGTAAACCAGTCGTACTGCCTTCGACTTGTCCTTCTTGGGCTTCTCCTCGCTCTTGGGCTTGTCTGCTGTGGTCTCCGCCTGCTTCGCGGCCCCCGAGATGAGATCGTCCACCGATGTCGAGATTGTATCAGGCGCTTGTGTCGTCTCGCCTCCGTTCAAGGCCGGCGCTTGGCCCATGTGCATCTGCTGCATCTGATACGCGTTGACCGGTGGCGCTGCCACAGCCGGTCGCTGCGGCAAACCTGGAGGCATAGGCAGACTGCCCGACCGGGGCGGGAATGCCCCGGCCGTCTGCGGAGGGGTGTGGGTTGCGGGAGTTTGTGCGGGGAATGCTGGGGGAGTCGTTCCAAACGATGCCGCCGGCGTACCCTGGAACGGCTGTGGTGAATATCCCGCCGGAGGGTATTGTGCGGTTGGAGGGAACTGGGGCTGTCCCGGGGAGAAGTTGGGATAAACAGGGCTGGCGGTTTGAGGATAAGGAGAGGCAGTGCCGTAGGGTTGAGGGTAAGAGAACTGTGAGGTGGTGGTGGGTGCAGCGGCGGGAGCAGCAGCAGCAGCAGGAGCAGGCTGGCCCTGCCTCATTGTTAGTCGCGTCACTAATGTTGTGGGAGAGAATACTCACGAATCCGCCCATAGTCGGGGTCTGTCCTGCGCCCACTGGAGTAGCTTCACCACTACTGCCTCCAGTACGTGCTTCCGCCTTCTTAGCCTTGTGCTCCGCCAGTCGCTTCTTCAGATCCGACACGCTCTCCAGCTTGGGCTTCTTCGCTGGCTGTCCGCCAACGCCGGTTCCCGGAGGCGGATTGCCCGTCACGGCCTGCCGTTCGGCCTCTGCCTGTTGGAACTGGGTGGCTACGCGCTGGTTGTGCGACTGGATGATGTCTTCCGGGACGCCCTCCATGCCGAAGATCTCGACGTCGAGGCTGGATCGGTTGGGAAGAGCATTGTCGACTGCCGAAAGTTGCTCCTTGTGGACCTGACTCATGTGCACCGATAACCCTGTGCTGTTAGTAAATATCGCCACGGCGCATTGGATGACCTACCTCCTGCAGTGTTCAGCCGGCGCCCGCAGCGCTCGCACTTGAAGTGCTTGGCCTTCTGGTGAGATATGAGAATCTTCAAATCATCAAAGTCGCGCTCACAATAGTAGCACCATGGACGAGCCAGAAGCTCATCCAGCGTCGGACCACGTCTCTTTTTACCCATATTGATTGAGTCTGTGTTGATGTGAAATGAAAGAAAAGTGATGGGTTGGTGAAGCAGCTCACTTGGTCGCCGACCAGCGCGGAGTTGAAGTGTTGCGTCACGTGGAGCTCATCATGTGACCTGCGTCATCCATCCCATCAAGTATACAATTATCATCAGTATTATAATCTACTTGAACTGAGATAGCTGAATAAAGGTATGGCATTAATGTATAATACAGCTTTTTATATGCCCAATGTACATCCTACCTGGTTGGCAATATTCACAACCAACCACGGATCGCAAAGCCCCGACGCCTGTCGCTGAAAGCACGCTCACTAATCACAGGAAACAAAAGCACAATAATACATACGAGCGAAATTAGGATACAAGCCAGGGTGGATCACGCAGGTCGCGGATGCGATGGTGGCAGCCCAGGCGCAGGCGCCCCATAAGGACTGTAGTACTCCGGGTATGGTGTGCGATACGGCTGCAGCGGCGCTTGCTGTAAAAGACCATGAGGCCCTGGGAATGGTGCCACCGCTCGAGGATCGATAGGAGCATATGGCGTAAGTGACGGTCGTGGTGCAGCAATCGGCGCGAGCTGATGATGCGCAGGAGGACCAGGAGCCAAAGGTGTCGATGCAGGCATAGGTGCGGGCGCGAGCCCTGCGTTAGGTCGCGCAGGCTCCCCATACACCCCGCCCTCCGGCTTCTTCTTGATCTTTCCCGGCTTCGGGGGCTCAGATGCCTTCCGAGCAGCCTCCGCCGCGCGGTCGGCCTCAATTTGAGCCTTGGAGCGTTTGGGATTGCGCACGCGACCCTCGCGGTTGAAACGTGCCCAGTGGTTCAGCATGGCCTCTGTTCGCTTCGGGTTCTTTGAGTTGGCAATCTTTTGTCGCCGGGCCTGTTCAGCGGGATCCACCCCATCCTCCAGTGTGCTGCCGGTTTGGATGCTTGCGGGAGGCGTAGGCGTCGTGCTACTAGGTGCCGGTTCGATCGGTGCCAACTGGGCAGTGGCAGGTCGTGCCTGAAGGGAGCTAGCCACATGTTCCCCTCGTCCAGATGACGGCCGTGGTGCTGAGGTCGCAGCAGCCACCGGCTGATATATCTCCGTCGAAGCAATGACTCCACCTCCGCGAGCTGCGCCTCTACCGCGGCCGCGGCCACTTCCACGTCCCCGAACCGCACCCCGAGGGGGTGTCGCGGATGCCTGGGCTTCGTCCATCTCGGTGCCAGGGCGACGGCCACGTGTGCGCCGCTTGGGGCCATACTCTTCGGTGTCAGTCTGAGCCGGTGTCTCGATAGTGGGCTCTTCGGAGCCAGAGGCTGCCATCTCTCGGTTAGCCGCCTCCAGCTCCGCGGCCCTGCGCTTGCGCGTGGCCTTGCCAACAAATTCCTCGCGTGGAGGGTTCTGGAACTTCGGCACGTGCTCGACTCCGAATTTGACGATGGTGCGCCAGCCATCCGGGTTAGGATGATTGGGACCAATCTTGGCCGTCATCTTTCGGAATTGAGCGGGCGTTGGCTTGAACCCGCCCTGCGTGAATGGGTTCTGGTTGCCCACTTTATCCTCCTTGGCCTCGTACTTGTAGCCGTAGAGCATGGCTTCCTTCTTATCCTCAAATACTTGAGGCCTTTGCAACTTCCTCGGGTCGCTGGTCGGCTTGGCATTATGGCGAGTCGCTACCTTGTGCAGCTTTTCTATGGCCATATACTCGTCCTGCCACGCTTTCAAGGCATATGCCACGTTTTCCGTGATAGCATACAGCTCTTCGGTCGAGCGGTGCTCCGGGTCCCGAAGCGGCGCCAAAAACTCTTCTAGGGGAGTCATTTCTAGGAATTCCCCTTTGGCAGCTTTCACCTGCTTGTACGGTCCGGGCCGTTCAGCAAATTCGTTGCCTTCACGTTTTTGTGCGCGTTTCGGGCCCCGGAGCACCATGGACCAGGAGTGGTCTAGGTCAGACGACTTCTCGTCATAGTCTTCCGAAAATTTACGGATATCATTGACACTCCACAAATTATGAAGACGTTGATCCAACGAAACTGAGTCTTGACCGCGAGAGAACTCATGAAGCTGGTTAGAAAGAGCGTCAGCCTCGGGGCCGTCAGCTTCATCGCCATCGACGCTTTGGTCCTTGTCGTTATCGTAAGCTTCCGTCACCTCAGTCACGCCATTTGCAGCGGCTTCATCTTGCTCTTCGTCATCCGCTTCACTCTCGGCCGCAACCTCTGTATTGTCCTCTGCTTGAGGGTCGGCTTCGTGGAGTTGAGACTCTTCATCTTCGTCGGCACCCTCATACATGGAGAATTTGGCAATCTGCGGATGAACGGTAGCAATATGTTCTTTAAGAGCATCATATTGCGACTTGGAATCATTGGCAGACTCAAATTCCTTGCCGCACCAAGAGCATTTAGATTTGTGCGTCATGGGAGAAGGGGATGGAGACGCCTGAGTAGAAGTAGAGTGAGCGTGTAATGGCTCGGAGAATTGTCGGCGCAGCGGAGAGTCCTGGCTGGCCAAGTCCGAAGTATGGCTGTCCAGTTCCGCCTCGTTATGAGGAAGCGGAGCCATAATGGACAGAAAAAGAAGGTGAGGAGAAGAAGTAGTCAGATAGAAAGTAGTAGGATGTGAGAATACTAGCGAAAGGGATATCTGATCCTCCTTCGAGGGGCCCAACGTGGGATCTGGCTATAGTGTTAGTCGACTAACTTCCGGCTGAAAAGTTCGCTTGCGGCGCCAAGACGCCAGAAGTAACTGCAGCGCAATCTTCTACACCAGAGCCCCGAGAGCGTAAGGGTGGGAAAGGGGAAACCAAAACACGGTCGAGCAATCGAGACAAGTGAGATGCATGAGGAATTGGGCTGCTCTCCACTGGAGGATGGACCAAGACGTTGACAGAAACGTGGCAGACATGGCTTTGGCAGGCACAAGTAGAGCGTAGTATGGGTCAGGCAGGTGATATGTAACATACCTTTGGGCGAGAGAAAATCGCGTCAGTGATTCCAATAAACGGAGAGGAACAAGATTTGAAGATGTGAAAAGATCGCCCTCTGAGGAGCGCGATAGAGCAGAAGTATTGTGGTTGTTGTGCAGAGTCAACCACGGTGGACGCCGCGAACGGTTGGCAGGGATAGTTTAAGAGGTTCGTAGTTCTTGAAGAGGAAAAGTAGGAAGCCGAGCGGGTAAGCAGAAAAACTATGCGTTCTGCCAGCGCCGGCAACAAACCAAGAAACCAGAAGCAAGAGATCTAGAAAGAGAAGATAGAATGCACCAGATGAAGGGATTGAGATAGATGGCAGGTTATGTATGCTGTAGAGAGGAAGAAAAGAGCTGGGGGTGGGAGTGTTAAAGCTTTCCGTAGCAGTGGAACTATGATGTCTTGACGGAATGGGGGAAGACGGGCAGATGGCGAAAGAGGGAGGAAAAGGAAGAATGAAAGGGAGAAGATTCGGAGGGGGGAGGGATTAACCACGAGGAACACCACCAACAGCCCAGCACCAACACGGGAAGCGGGCAAGAAGAGGCAAGCAAAAGAGGATTGTGGGATGTTTAGACGCAGTGAATGCTGGGGGGAGAAAAGGAAGGGAAAGACTTGGAGTTTAGTTTGTAGAGGCAGCAGGTCGCCTTCACAAAGCGATCTAGTAGGAATAGTAAGTCCCAGTAAAGAAAGTACTTGAGCTTTACACTTACTTACCTTACCTGGCCGGACTGCCCTTTGCAATCAACTTTTCGCACTGGGTTGGTATCGGCACCGCTTGGTGCTTGGTACGCGCCATACGCAAGTTACCTTATTTTACTGTATGGACCCACCCAAATAGCCAATCTGGGGCTCTGATCCGCCCGGAAAAAGACCAGCTCCGGATAGATCCCCGTCACGCAGACGCCGTAGTCTTGATCAGGCCAATCAAAATAATCACAGTGGTCTGCTGGTCTGTTACCGGACAATACCCCCCCAGTCCTGTAGTCCAGGTCGGAGGTATACCTTGAGCGCCCTGAAGATGGACTTGTTGATGGTGAGGGATGCTTTTTCCCTTTTTCTATCAGGGGCTACTCTTGAGAGAAAAAGTACCCCTGATTCAGGTAAAGTATTGACTATCGCAGTATCCGTCAACTCCACCTGGGGAACCGGGGGTAGATCACAGCACAGTTGGCGTCAACTTGGTCTCATCTTTCGGGTTGCCAACCTGATAGATGGACATTCATCGACCGTGTACCTGCCTGAGTCATGGGGCGGTATTGTTACCCCGTCTACGTGACATCATCTACTACGGTACTTTATTGAGGGACAAAATTCTCTAGTCAATAATAGTCAGAATATTCCCTTCCCATGCATCATAGCTATACATTAAGCTGGAAAGGATCGAATGACCTTTTCCTGTTTTCCAAAACAAAGGGCAATGTGGGCAAATGGGCTGATGGTGTTCGGGAGCGACCAGTCAAATTGCCAGTGGTTGATGAACCATCACGGAATGTCTCGGTAACAATTCATGCTGAAAGCATACTATGAAATGAGACGAGCGGGGGAAATGATCGAGTTCTGGCAGGTTCTGACATGATCATTAGGTAGCTGCGTAGGCGATGGTGGGCCCAGTCTTCCTCACACTCATCATTATCATTGACAAAGTATTATTATGATGGTACTATTGTTATTATAGCGCAAGCTAGACCTAATATCCAGCTCACCTCGACTGATTCGGGCTGCTCCTAATCAATTGATCCCTGTGTTATCTCCCGGTCTTATCAGGCATAACACCACCACCCCGGAAATCTTCTGCTGTCTGTCCCATCGCTATTGTTCAGCAAAATGTTTAGAATGGTCCATAATATCACTGTAGCAATCAATGGCGTTTTAACAACCGGAGAAATTATCATATTTTCTAGAAACTACCGGCTCAATGATACAGATTTCGCCATATCCCTGCTACTGAGGTATTGAGTTTCTTGGCCTAATATACATTTTTATGGCGTCGATATACTTCAGGCGCACCCTCTTAAAGCTTGTTGTGAAGCATATTGTATATTCTGAGACGTAGTTATATTTATCACATCATAGATAG